AGATCTCTCTGTGCATCAGTTTTCCCCACGGCTTTTCCATTTACCACATAGTTCGCTCTTGATTTGGACCTTCCAAAATGCATCACCTCGCATTTGCCTGGATTGAACTCCATCTGCCATTTCTCCGCCCAACTCTGCAATCTATCTATATTCTGCTGCATTCTCCGACAGTCCCCTTCACTATCTGCTAATCCACCAATCTTAGTGTCATCTGCAAACTTGCTAATCAGACCATCTATACCTTCCTCCAGATCATTTATGTATATCACAAACAACCCCTCCCCTCTCTATTTATTTCAGAGCCCCTTACCCGTCCCCCATTTCTGAAGGGTCGCGACCTGAAACGTCAGCTTTCCTATTCCACTGATGCTGCCTGGCCTGCTGAGTTCCTCCAGATCCACACTGTTATCTCTGACTCCAGCATTGGCAGTTCTTACTATCTCTGAGCATTCCAATCTAGTTTTTTTTCCTTTTTGTACAGTTAATACAACTCCAGTTATAGGTACTTGTTTTCTAAACTTTGAGCTAATATTCATGCTGGGATTTCATCCTTGATATGCATAACTTTTGTTTAATACCCTTTTTGTGTAGTGCTTTGCCAAATGCCTTCTCCAAATTTAGATGCTGTGTCATAGCAATTTCCACAGTATTCTTAGGATATCACATCATTTAATCAAAGAAATTTGTTAGGGTAGTTTTTTTTCTCTGCATCAAATTTTAATTTTGTGTAAGTAATCTAGATTTACACCTTGAAACAGCTTAAAATAAGTTACAAAATGTAACTAAAACTAATACCTATATAGTTTGCATTGAAAGCAGTAATAAATCAGACATCATGTTAGCATGTGTCCCATCTGCTGGCAGCACCCCAATATCTTTGCAGTGTCTGCATACCCCTTAATGATTCTGGATTCCTTGCAGCTCTTTCTGATGTCCTTTGCCGGTGGTCTATTTAACTTGAGACTCTTTTTAGTTAATTTAGGTCTAACAGCTCCTTTATCATGGAATGTTGTAGCTTGGCAGGAATCTATTTAGTGCATTTTAAAAGACTGTCCAATTTGACTCGGTACCCTACTGTTTTCCCATAGCCCTGTTTTTTTTCTTAACTATTTTCCCCCTCAAAACTTTACCATGAGATTGTCAGGTTGTCTTTTCAGGAGTGTTGTGTTGTTTCTGCCTTCCCACGTAGATACTTGGAGAAAATTATCATTTGGAATAGTACTTTTTTGTTTTCTTCTGTTTAAATTAGTTTTTTTTGTCTCACTAGCTGGAATTAAGTCGTCAAAGATGACCATGAATCCATTGTCGATTGTCAGGAAAAACCCATACCGTTCACTAATGTCCTTTAGGGAAGGAAACTGCCATCCTTACCAGGTCTGGCCTACACGTGATGCCAGACCCGCAGCAATGTGGTTGACTCTTAGCTGCCCTCTGGGTGGGTAATAAATGCTGCCTAGCCAGCGATGCCCTCATCCCATGAATGTGGAAAAAGGTTCAGATTGTATCCTTGCTGCTGAATTGTTAAAATAATTTCTTCACTTTTCATTTTGATATCTACAGCTGTTTTTTTTCCCAGATTGATTTTTGTTTTTCCTTTTATCAGTCAGTGTTTTAATTTTTTTTGTATCTTTTAATCATTCCTGTGAACTCCAACCCAATCCTTTATTCCTTGTAGAGCTTTGAGGTTATTTTTACTGTCTTGATTTTTTTAAAAAATCTGTTTAAAGTCATGCTTTTTCATAGAATTTGTTCCTAATGTATCCTGCCCAAGCAGCATTATAATAATATTTGTACAATATATAGTTCCCCTTGTAAAATTCAAAAGTATTTTATTTTACGATTGTGAATTAAATGCCTAGCCTTCTCAGGCAGATAATGTATGGTGTAAACTGCAGACTTGCTAATGAATTTCAAAGCTGCTGATGAATTACAAATGACGTAGTTGCTTTGATCTTATTTCTGAATTTGTTGAGACTTGCAAATTGGGCCATGCAGCACCACAAGAAACAAGTTGACTGCTGCAATTTTGAATATTGATTTCAAAGCCCACAGTATACCTTGAGTTTTAAAAGTACAAAATTAGCATTTTCAAAACTGGTTTAATAACATGCCTAAAGATTTTAGTTCTGGGATAAATGAAAATGATTGTACAGACTGTTGGAGATTTGCACATAAAGTAAATACTATGAAGCAGTGGAATATGCTTCAAGGCTCTTGGCCTGTACAACTGATATCTGCCACACTGTGGTGGTAACGTGCAGAATGAAGGTGAAGAATTAATCGTTTTTGGGATATTTGGGTTTTTCAAAGACTGGTCATAATTAGGACAAGTGGCTAGAGGCCTGGTTTGCTTGCTCCCCAAGCTGTAATTGATAGCTATTTGACACTTGTAGTCTTGACATTACCAAGAGGGCAGGTGGAAATACATTTTTATCAATTTATTTTTAGATATTTTTAATCTCAATGGATGGGCTTTCTTGTAACAGCACATTTTTGATGAATTTAAGTAGAGAATGGGTAATGATCTGATTAAGAGAATAGCGCCCTGTTGTAACATTGAGAGTTGAAAAAAATGTTTGGCATTGAGATGATGCCATCAACAAAATATCAGCACTGCAATGGAATGCCAGCCAACTTGTATACTAAGTCTCTAGAGTGGGGCTTACTTGCATATTGGCTCAACTGAAAGTGGCGTAATTGAACCAAATTTTTTATGTAAGTGTTTGGAGATCCGATTGAGTGCTGGCAGCTGGAGTGGGAGATGACTTCCTTATGTTCTTATGTTCTTATTTTCATCTTCCCGTTTGATGTCATAAAAAGTTAGTACTTAAAAAGTATTATCACTTTTTGTATTATTTGTTCATGGGGTGTGAGAATCAGTGACTCGGCCAATATTTATTGACATCCCTAATTGCCCTGGAGAGAATGAGTGCCTTCTTGAACAATCTTAGTCCTCTATGGAGGGAGGGAGTTCAGGATTTTGGCACAGTAACACTGAAGGAAGAAATCAGGTGCATGTTTGATTTGAAGGGGAACTTGCAGTTGGTGCTGTTCTCATGCATCTGATGCCCTCCTAGGTGATAGAGGTTGCGGGTTTGGAAGGTGCTGTCAAGAGTTTTGGTGAGTTATTGTAGTGCCTCTTGTAAATGTGCGTGCTGAATGTCAAGGGTGTTGTGCCAATCAACCAGGCTTGGATATTGTCAAGCTTCTGGTGGTGTTGGAGCTGCACTTATCCATGTAAGTACTGGTGCCTTCTAGATGGTTGTTAGGCATTGTGATGACAGGAGGTGAGGTATTTAAATGCAGAATTCCTAGCCTCTGAATTGTTCTTGCAGCCATAGTATTTAGTCGGCTGGTTCAGTTTGGTTTCTAGTCACTGTCTTTCTGCCTCTGTGTCTCCCCCCACACC